AGCAGCTGGTTTTGGTTGTCAGCAGCAAACTGGTTGATCCACTCTGATAAAGTGCTATTTAAGAGACTGAGCTGAAAACAGCACCTCAGACTGAGGAAGTCTCTTGGATGAGAGACGAAACGTTTCTATATTTTTTTGCTTCGTTTTGTTTTTTGTTTTTTTTAATGTCCAGAGGACCAGATTGAACTTTTTTGGATTTTTCTACCTGGATTATTGAGCATGCATCAAGATAGTAATTAAAGTAATTTATTACATCTACTCAAATGTGTGTAATTAAGTATTATATATATGTGTGTGTGTGTGTGTTTGTGTGTGTGTGTGTGTGTTTAATTGCTCTTTTAGCTACTTTTGCCTGAACCTAACACTGTAAGTGAAACAAGGCATTTCTTGAGTTGCTATAATTATGCTATAATACATATTAACTCTCTCATTCCAGAAAACAACAACAACAACAAACAACAACATCCTTCATGATGGACAGACATCATGGACACCACAGCAACAGCTGTCTTCACTGAAAGATCCTTAAATGATCACCACAGCAACAGCTGTCTTCTGTTGGATTTAATATTTTATACAGTTTTATAATTTCTATCAAGCACTCAAATGTCATGTCACATAAAGGGTGTGCGTGTCTTTCTTCCAAGGTTGAACTATGTTTATAGAAAATGTTTGCTAATTCTAACTAGTTGACCTTTAAATATAATCTCATAGTAGCTAAGGATAATTTTACAAGTTCACATTTGATAAATTACAAGCAATCAAATCAGGCCAGAGAGCAGACTGATTAACATAAATAAAGTAGAACACAGCTCTTTAATTTAGACAATATAGTTTGACTAAGTAAAATCAAATTAAGAGTATAACCATGATCCAAATAAAAACACGAACATAAGTTGGATAATATAATTATTCCTAGAAATAAACAACTATTTCAAATCAGTGTTATCACTAAGGTATAATCACGTTAAACAAACAGTGTTAACAGTTTAAACGCAGACAAGGAAACTAAGATGAATCTGCCTTAAAAAACAGCATCACCAGGCCTCCAACAGATATTGAATTAACACCCAGGAGGTAGGTAATAATTAATAGTTATTAATTATTACGTATAAACAATTTAGACACGAATCATTTTATATCCCTAAAGTATAATAGCAAGTTAAACTTTAAACAAAAGCCGATTTCGGTGTACCAAAACTTATCTGAAATATAGACGTTAACGTCCTTGAGGGGGCGGGCTAAGTCGTAACCATAGCGACAGAAGCTGAACCAATCAGGAAGCTAGCCTTCTCAAACGGGGATAAAAGGCCGGAAATGACGCACGCCCACCGAGCATTTTCCGGGAGACGCACATGGCGGTTCGTTCTTAATGCTCCATTTATATGCATATATCTTATTAATGTAATTGTTTGTCTCTGAATATCTGTAACCCATGTTGCGTCAAATAAATCTTTTATACGAAGGGCGACGCCTCAGCCATTTTGAACACGACGTGGTACTCTAACCACGACAATATGGTGACCCCGACGTGATGGCGAGGTGACGCGGCCTAGACTGAATTGGATCGAAGTGGCTTGCGGTGCACACACAGAGAGAGGAACTGGGCCCATTAATTTCAGGTAAGCTGGTTAACTGTTTGGACCTTAAGGTCCGGAGTTTCTGGCTATTCGGCCGTAAACCAAATTGAAACTAAATTCAAATTCCTCTGTTGGTGTGCATGCGGCCATCTTCGGAAAATAAAGATGGTTTTATTTAAGCTAACTCCCGGTGATTCGTGAGAATTCTGACGAAGTGGGTTACTGGTATTCGGACTTGGGGGGTGCGTTCGAGGCCGCGTGCCTGTGAGAGAGTGTGTATTCTGTTATGTGCACGGCTTTTATATAGAACACGAGTTAGAATCGTGGCGGAGAATGACTAAGAGTCTGCCGTTAAGTTGAATGTATAGAGATATAAGTCCCTTTGAATTCAGCGGGTCGTAGCTGACCGAAAAGTTTACCTGACGAGGTGACTTCCTCCCATATGGTCTGCCATTGGGAGGTGCTGTGGTGCGAGATTTCCACAGATACTGTAGACTGGTACTAAAGTAATCTCAATTGTTAAACTTTCAAAGGGACAGGCCGGGGGCCGTTAAGTCTAAATTCCGGACGGTCTGGGACCGCGCGGTAGGGTTTTAAACCCTGTTTGTTCCGTGCTGTTCAAGTTTTCTGTGTGTCGGAGAAAGTCTGCTTGGAGCCGTGTGTGTGTGTGGTAAAGCACTCGTGTGAGGGAAGGGAGCGTTTCTTTGTTCCACACACGAGGTGAAGGCTTATGCGTGTTTTGTTTTGTCTTCGTTTCTGCGTCAGAGGTGTCTTGTGTGATCGGTGCTTCCGTATCCTGACCGGAAGGGGGCGCTGTTGTATGAGGTAAGGACAGGTCTGGACCCTGGGTTGTTCCGTACCAGACTTGTGTTTGTTTTATTACGGCTGCGGCCAGGAGTGAATGAAAATAACATATTTGAATGCCTGGGTGTGTGAATGTTGTTATCAGGTGTGGAACTCATGAATGTGGTACAGGTGAAGCCTGTGGAAAATCTACAGGATCATATCAGAGGCAAATTGCACGACTTATAGGGAGTATCAAAATGAAAAGGAGGTAATTAGTTTGAGATCAGGGGGCCACTAGCTCAAACAAGCGGAAATGAGCTTTATGTACCAAAATTAAGGGGGTAGAGCTTGATTTTTAATGATTTAGGCTGTACAAGTTGGATTAATTTAAAAATATAGCTGATTGGCGTGTCACAGCTAAATGGTATCTGATATGGGAACAGGGATAGCTGAAAATCTTCAAAATATTTGCTGATAGCCGTCTGAGGCCAGACAGAAACGGAGATAGGAGCAGACACAAGGTTAAACAGAACAATTTTCTGTATGATAGGAAGGAGGCAGTGACCTCTGAAACAGAGGATGGTTTAAATCTCAAGGAAAGAGGGGACATCACGTGTACGAGCTGTAATTAACCAGGAGATGGAGTCAGAGTGAGTCAGCTGGAGAAGGTTGAATCATCTTGGAGTCAGATTAGACGGTAGAGGGTTGAGATGTCAAGGCGACCGTGGTGTTGGTGGTGGTTAACAAATTAGTTTAACTTTCTTCTTGGAATTGACAATAAACTCAGGTTTTAAACTCAACTGAAAAACAACAGAATAAGAATAAGTAATAGACAAAATCCTTGACACTTGTAAAATAAGGTGGAGAGAAGGATTTTAAATGGTAAATGGTAAATGGAGCTTACTTCTATAGCGCCTTCCAGCCCCCTATGAGGGGCCCCAAGGCGCTTTACAGTACCAGCCATCCACCCATTCACACGCACATTCATACACCGGTGGCGGTAGGCTGCCATGCAAGGCGCCATCCAGTCCCACCGGGAGCAACTCGGGGTTAAGTGTCTTGCCCAGGGACACAACGGCACATGGTGTGGGAAGTCGGGATTCGAACCTCCAACCTTCCGATCAGAGGTCGGCTGCCACTACCACTGCACCACGGCCGCCCACACAGAATAACCATTATAGAATTACAGAATTACAGAATTACATTACAGAATAACCATTTATTCTGGTCAAAGAAAACCTTACCGGACTCAAATTGAAAAGGTCAAATACGTTCGGAAACTAAACTCAAATTGAAAAATTAGATTAAATTATACAGCCATAACTAAACTCAAATTGTAAATACTTGGGTTAAATTAATCATTCTTAATTGTACTCAAATTGAAAAACTTAGATTAAATTAATCAGCCTTAAAAGGTAAAGGCAAAGGCCAAGGAGCTGTTTCCTTCTAAGAGCTGCAGGGACTAGGTTATTTAAGGGACGACAACAATTCTAGTGGGTAAACGCCATGACTTTAACTTTATTATTTGAGACTTCACACAGGTCCTGGGAGTGCAAAAGGACAACAGAGAGGTGTACATGGTGAGTTTAAGAAGTTGTACTTTGTGAACAAAGGGCATGTACACGTTTTTGTGCAGTGATAATGGACTCTGTGCTGTCTTGAGGAGTATACATGGTCTTAATTGATTTGTACTAAAAGTATCTTGTTTGTGATGCAGTGAAAAAGCATAGTTAGGAGAGGAAATGATTTGCAGATTTGTTA